CTCTTTCAGAAGGACCGTCGCGTGATATTGAAGTCGCGACAAGCGAGGGTAAGAATACAAATTGTGGAGCGTAATCCAAATGAGATCCGACGCTCCCAACGATTCGATCGGTCCGAGTAGCCTCATTCAAGTCGTAACTCAAGTCGTTGCTGATGTCGCGAAAGTAAAGTGAGTAAAGCGCAGAGACGTGAATACACGAGAGAGTATCATGAATCCAGTTCCTAGCCGTCGCATTGTCTATTGCAATTATCACGAGAGACGAGATCCAGATCGCTCGTTTCTCGGCACAGCGTAAACCGTGCCAGGCGAAAAACCCTACAATTGTATAATGTAAAAAAGGATCCAGAGAAATGGAGAAAGAAAGAAATTTGCTTCGTACCGTGGAACAGTTATATACATCGTGTTATCGTGTAAGCCCCGCTGCAAACTTTTTTCTCCTCTTTTATATTGTAATATTATCCGATGCTTCTCTCTGCGCTGTTTGAACAAAATACATCGACGTTCTTCTGCGAGCTGGTAAAGTCGATTGAAATCGATAAGAATGACGAAGAAGACGTAGGTAGGTGCTTGGATAAGACGATTCAGACGTAACAGACGGCCTGGATCGGTCATAAATGCGCGTATATTATCGCAGTAGTCACAATTGGGTTGGCGTTAATTTCATATCAATTAGATAGCACGATTTATCGCGCCCTACATCGTCGTCCCATCGTGAATCGAGAAGAGCGGCAAATATAGAAAAAAAAAATAAGAAAAAGGAGCAGGCAACGAAGACGTTTTGACATCAGTTAATTGAATTCCGTCACGTCGCATTAATTATCCGGCAATTACGATTCACACGATTTTGTTCATTTCGACTGAACGATGCCGCTCCGTCGATTGCACTTCGTAGAAATTAATGATGAGACGGCATTTTCTTCGGAACATATATGTGACGATAAGTTAAATGCTTAAGGAAACATGGTACATTCTGGTTAAAATGTCGGTTTAACACAACGCGAGTCAACAATTTGAAGAAATTGTGGACAAAACGAGATATTTTTCTTTTTGCAACATCATATCTTTCGATAGTTGATGCCGACGAAATGAAACGGACTGCTTGTGACGTAAAATTGTCCAAGATTGATTCCAATATTGAAAAAAGAATTTCAAAGATATACGACGATGCTTCTGTCCAATATTCAAAATTGACCTTTTGGGAAATAAAAGAAAAAGGAAAAAGGAAAAACGTACCTAGAAAAAAAATAGATTTCTTTATATAATATTTTAATATTAGGATCCGTTATTATTATTAGCCGTAAAATCTCCTGATCATATATAAATCGTTAAATTTCACACACGCATTTATCGGCAGTACACGAGCTCGTTTGCGATATTCCTCCGCCGCGAAACAACGGTTTTTTGGCACGCGCTCTTCGCGCGACGCGGCCAGTCGTGTCCTCGCGGAGATGAGGAAATGCACGAGCGCTAGCCAGTTTTATCTCGTTTCCTCGTTTATCCTCTTTCAGACCGACCTCCAAGGAGATTCTCAGATCCAGACACGGCGTTCATCGAGCGGCTTACCGCGGGGCGATCACGGTGACGCGAGTTATGCAATCGACCGCGACTGGCCTTGCGCCAATCTCGCGTATCACTCATACACTCTACTCTTCTTTCCTCTCGTTGAACTCCGTCGAGGATAGAGGAGAGAGGATACGAGACGAGAGTTATACGAGAGAAGCGCGAGAGCAGCAGCAGCAGCAGCAGGAGGTGGTGGAGAGAGAGAGGGAGAGAGGGAGAGAGGGAGAGAGAGAGAGAAACAGTGAAGAGGAAAAGAGAGGTAAGCGTATTGCGAAACACGCGTCGTGCCTCACGCATGCATGCGCGTGTCACACGGATGATGCTTGTCGCGATGTACACGTCGTACCAGCGAGAATTGCCGCGTGGTAGAAATGTATATACACTTGTCGCTCGTGACTATACATCTCGATGATCGCGAGCCATCGATCGACTGCCAATTTACCACATCGGCTTTTAATTCAATTTCCTGCGTGACCCGCGCGCGACGAAAACTCGCGATCTCTGATATCTCGTAGAATGAGCCTGTCGTGAACGCGAACGTTCAGGCCGCGAAGAGGGAAGAAACATGTAACATCTAGAGATAATGCTCGATCTTACGAAAATTAAACAAATATCTGTTCGAATACGAACAAATCAATGTGAATACATTTACTTATTGGGGACTTGAATAAGTTCTCGCTGTTTCCCGACAGATAGTGTTATCTTAGCCTTTTTGCATAGGGCAATATTACAGCCAACGGTAAATATTCACCTTTACATAGCCCGCGTGAAATGACCTCCGGTTGACCTTGATGTTAACCTTGACCCTTAAGGATGTCAAAGTCATAAACTTTTCCTGTCGCTCGTTTTTCATTAAAAAATTATTAACAAAAATTAAAAATTAAAAATTAAAGTTTTGCCAATTATTTTATTACATACTGGAAATTTCAAAAAATGTTTCAAGTAAAAATTGTAAGTCTCTTCAAAATATAGATTTTATGTTTTATGCATTTTTACTATAGAAGTAATAACTTCCGAGAAAAACAGTAATAAAGACTTTAAACTTTATACATATTTATTTAACTTATTATACATATACATATCTTGTATCATACATACACACATGCAGTGTGTGTATGTATGTAAAATAATGTATAATAGAAGATATGTGTTTATAGAGTATGAACCTTGACTTTGTTATGAAAACAGACATACATTGGACGTTTCCTTTTCAATGTCATTGTAAGTCCATTTACGTCACAATATAAAAAGAATATAGAATTAAAAAGTTATGCAAAGAAGTTACATAAGTGCAACAGATTTGTTGGATATAGAAGTAATTATGTGAAAAGTTCGTAAGAGAAAAAAGTATACGTATATGCGCGGATGGAGGGGCTTTGCCCTTCCCCCCGCACCCCCTCCCCCAAGAAACGAACCCTAACCTAACCTAAAGGAAAAACAACATAAGAATGTATAATTTACCATATTTCAATAGATAGGTTAGGTTAGGTTAGATTAGGATTAGTTTTTTGGGGAAGGGGCTCCGCTCCTCCCCCGCGCATATACTATGTGTACTGCAAGGATTACAAGGAGTTTTTTGACGTTTATAACAATTTTACTCAAAATTCTTTTCATTAAGTACATAGAATATTATCGAAAGATTACGTTCAATTTATAAAACTTCTTTTGTTAATAAGTTTTTAATGAAGAACGAGCGAGGGGAAAAGTTTATGACTTTGACATCCTTAAGGATCAAGGTTAACATCAAGGTCAATCGGAGGTCATTTCATGTGGGCTGTGTAAAGGTGAATATTTATCCAGCCAACTTCATCGTGAAGCTCCCTCATTAGCCTCGAAGTGACAGTATATGTTATTCCGCCGAAGCGTAAACAACATATTTTTTCATACACTCAAGAAAAAAATTGTTGTAATGACCAATTTTTATTGGCTGCATGAAAGTTTCCTGCTCCAACGATTTAATTATTGAAACAGCAAATCGCAATATCAGTCTATGATTTCGGATAGGCTAACGCAACCAACTTTCAAAGGTAGTAAATAGTTGGTCACATTAGACAACTTCTTAGTTGAGATAGCTTTACCGACTGGGTTAATAAGACAGTTGGCTGGCCTGACCCACTTAAATTTGTCGTTCAGGCAGCGATCGGCGCGCCGGCGATAGTATTTTATTTTTGCGATAGGATTTTATTGACGTTTGTCAAACGGACGTCTAGCTAACTTCGTGTGTGCACGTTTTTCGCTTCGCTCCAAATTTATCTTTACAAAGATAAAGATTTCATATTCTGTTTTTTGGTGAGAGGATCTGTTGGTGAAACGAGATAGTAGCTGAGCGGTAAGTAATATCCCAGATAGCCAAACCTGCGCGAGCAGATTTCGAACAAAGCCTGCTATCATAGTTTGATGGCAAATAGGCAACAAATTTAATGCAGAATCTGTTATATCAAATTATGCCGCCAACCTGCGGTCAAATATGCGCCAGATCCTGTTGTCAGATATTTGACGGCAGATTTGTAGCAAAAACCGTGCAAGACTTGCAGTAATTTGACGGCAGATTGGCGGCAGAAACTGAGCAAACTCTACGCGCAGACTCTACGTGTAGTTTGGCAGCAGGACCTGCGCGGTTTCTGCCGACAATCTGTTCGCACGGCCTGTCATACAGGTCTTATCGACAAAACACGAGCCTAATGAGGACACAGATGGCTATGGTTTTGATCTGGAGATCTGATCGAAATTGGCGTCAATCTGCGCGCATTCTGTTAGCATTTTGCTTACTGGGATAACATGCTCGGTAATTAACATAAATGTGAACGAGAAAGAGGAAGCAAGATAGAAAATGTGTGACGAATGACCGGCAGAAATAAATGAAAGAAATAAGTTGCATATTTTTTATACGTTTAGCAATTACCATTATGGCAGACAAGTGGAGTATTGATATATTGAAGAAGTGGGAATTTTTATCTTATGAAGCAATATTTAAAAGTAATATTATTTTTCATCAAAGTTTAATAGTTTTTTTTAAATATATTCTATTATTTGTAGTATAAATTATCTGTGTTTCTTTGTCTGTATGTATAAAATCACTGAACAAGGTACTGAAAAAGTACTGAACATTTTAAATAATGTTGAGTTAAATAATTTTGAGTGTTTTTGACTGTCATTTTTATTCTGTTTTAAATCTTTTCTTTGCTGTAAATATTTTCTTAGAGCAAGAAATAGATAAGGATAGCTTTTTAAAGCTAAATGAGGAACATATACGTTTATTAATTCCTCGATTTGGCCCACAAGCCAAATTTATTCATTTATGGAAAAATTTTGTGTCTTCATTACAGAAGGTAAAATATGTGTTCTCCGTTAGTTTAACATTATTCATTTAGAGCATTCGATCTTTCACGTTTTTTTATTTTTATTTTTTATTTCAGATTGAAAATGCAGATATTCTAGATGAAAATAAAATCATTCCAGAGGAAATTAGAATTATTGATACAATAGATACCATTGTTGCCATTGATACCATTGATAATGATACTTTTATGGTAAAGGATATATTCATTACAAATGTATCTGAAGAAAAATCAGTTAATGACGAATCCTCTACTGATGTGTCGATGCAAATTTATGAGTTACAGTCGCAGCAAGTAAAACGTTGCAAGGAAGATTCTTTTAATGAAAATCGAAAATATACTTGTATTTCAAATGTAAGTTTTTATTAAGAGCATTTCATCATTTTAAATAATAAAACTTACAAATTAAAATTTGTCACAGGATGTTAAACTTTACCTTGAACAAACAAGTGATGGAAAAAGTTACTTTGGGATTTATAACAAACAAGGTTTTGACAACGTTCTAAGGACAGATTTAGCGAAATATATAATAACAGCAGAGTTAGCTAACGATCCGAACAAACGGTGAATATAATGCAATAATTGGCTGTTTTAATTATTTCACAAGTACTGTTATAACTATGAATATGAATAAAATTAACGATATATATTTTTTACAGAATTACTCCAGACGATTTCAAACGACTTAGTTTACAAATTGTACAACTTTTTTGGAAATAGTGGTTAGTTTTATTTGCTTTTTAATATAGTTTTGTATTCTTTATTTATGCAACTGTCTATTTTATTTGAAATAGGATACTTGGTACATCCCGAGAAGGAAGTGTATTGGAACTGATCGTGCAGTACAGCCTAAAGGAAAGCTATATGACCAATACACGAGATTAATATGTAAACTTCGAAGAGCAGAGCTTCGCAGTACCAATTTACAAGAAGAAGAGGAAAACATAGATATTTTTCGTAACTTTAATGGTATAGAAGTATAATATTTTGATTTTTAAACAATTCTAAAGCACTTTTTACTCCAGTTTGATATTGTGATCACAGCAAATTATATACGATAAGAGATATAAGTTATTATTATATATGGAAATATGTTTAAATATGATATTATAATTATAGGAGCGGGCATTTCAGAAACGCAGTTAGACAGCTTTCAGTGGTTACGAAGGTGTCTGGAACCACAGAATGAGGCTATAGTAAAATGGAAAGAGACTGCCTCTGTAAGACTGCTAAAATTCAGAAGTACAGAATATAGGCGAAAAAGGGCAAACAATTTATTTGTGAAATTACTGAATATTTTAATGAATTTCGTATTTTGCGACAGCCTTGGAGTTATATTTTGGTAAATTGTTACTAGAAATAAAATTATATTATTTTATTTTTAAATTAATATTTTAAAATAATATTGTTTCCTCAATTTCAGTTAGAACAAGATTTCCACTACCTCTATCCAAATTATTCGATGCAACTTCTGTCTAATTGGGAGAAAATTGCTCCAAAAATAAAAAAACTTTTGAAAACTACTATAAAATCCACAACTGTTGAAGATAATACATTCAAATACTTTTCATTTTGCTGTCTTCTTTGTACAGGAACAGTAGGAAAGATCAATTTATTTTCAGAGGAAATTGTAAAGGTGTTGCTAGCAATTCTAACACTTTTTTCTCCAACAAATGTTGGAAAGTGGCGTCCTACAGCTGCAGACTTGGGTGCTGGTTTCCTGCTGCATATCAAAGTAAATAAATGTTTCTGTCTTTGGAAATGTTGAAGTTTAAACCTTTACCGATACAATGTACATATACATTAACTCTATTTTGTAATATTTAGGTCGTATCGGTTGCACAGAATTAAAAACGCTTTTAAACAATAAACCTACATACGAAAAGAAATGAAAGTATAATCTAATATCTAATAAAAACGATATAAAAATTATGTTTTTCCTATTGAATTAAGGTGCTTTCATATCAGAGTTCAACAATCACTTCAACATCTCCTTTTACACATATCATGTAATATTGTAAGAGAAAGAAAAGAGCAGTATAAAAAAATATTTCTAAAATTATATGTGTCAAAATTTCACAAGTTTTCTTTCTTAGGTTTTACGAGACTTGGAAGTGCAAGTAGAACGTATGAGGCAGAAACTCTTTGCTGCTAAGAAACAACTTCAGCCGTTCTCTGTCATAATTGGTGAAAATATAGCAAATATAACGGAATCCTATGTTTATATCGATAATTTTCCATATAAGATAGAAAGTCCTTTACGTGCAATAGATGTATGTTTCAAAGCGTATCATGCTTTGCATGCGTCCTATCCCTTTCAGAGTAGCCAACCATGGCTTTTCCTTCAGCAAGCTATTTATCAATTTAAAACTCAATGGGATGAACATGTACCATCTGTAGCAACATTGGTAAATGATTATTTGCAGTTAACAGATAATTAAGGGGCTAGTCCCAGTGGTTTTTCTTCAAAAAATCGATTTTTCAAAAACATCAGTTTCGTATAGAATATACACATAGAAATATGATAGAAGTGACCTGAAATGTTTTTGACGCCGAAAACCGGTCGAAATTCGAGCGAACAATAGAAGAGGTCGAGCGCGCCGCTGTATACCTGCCGCGTCATCGGCCCTGTTTTCAGTCTCTAAAAGATCAGTGAACTTATATAATGTGTGGTATGAATATTATGTTGGTGATGGCGACACAAAGACATTTAAAACATTATTAAACGCTTCTCCCTATGGTAATGATGTAACTGTAAAAAAAAAAAGAATGTGTTTTACATGTTAAAAAAAGAATGTATAAACGCGCAAAGGATGCTAAAAAACAACTAACTCAATTTAAAAAGGTAAAATTAACTTTGGAACATGCTGATAAAAAAAATACTAACACAAAGTGCACAAATAAAAGAACTTCGGGTAAAAAAAGAAAAAACAGTTCTACTTACAAACAAAGTTATGCAAGAGTTATCTACATACTATGGATTGGCTGTACTTCGAAATCCTGACTCTGTTGAAGAAATGACAACAGCTATATGGGCGACATATTACCATAAACGCTCTACCAATGCCAATCCTCAACATATGTACTGCCCACCAGGGACTTCATCGTGGTGTAAATATCGCAAGGCGGAAGAGGATAACACTTTAAAGGATTTTAAACATCCACCAGCCTTAGATGAAGAAGTTCAAGCTATTTTAAAGCTAATATATGACGACCTTACTTCACATGACTTGCTTGAAAGATGCGTTGGAGCGAACACCCAAAATAACAACGAAAGTTATAACGCATGTATGTGGCATTTCGCACCTAAACATATATTTTCTGGAAAACAAATAATTGAAATTGCTGCTTATTGTGCTGCATGCAAATTCAATGAAGGATTCAAACCATTGTTGAAAATTATGGAAGTTATGGGCGTTACAATTGGCAAAGGAGCAGCAGAATTCGTACAGCGGTGTGATCAGGCACGCATTGAATTGGCCAACCAACGCAGCTCTACCCAATCAAAAGAAAGCCGAACAGCCCGCAGAAATGTAAGATTGTAAGAAAATGATGCTTACGAACAGGCAGAGGGAATAATGTATGGTCCTGGCATCGCTGATTAAAGGTAAGAAGCTTTTTTATTAATATTTCAGACACAAAAACTTTAAACGCGTTTTTCTCAAAACAGTACTTTTTGACATGGTAGTCAAGATTAAAAAAAAAACTATTAAACCAATCGAGCTGAAATTTTAGGAGTCTTCTCTAAACATGTGTACTTATCGCCTGAACTAGAATCATAATTTTTTATTAATATTAAACCACTTTTTTCAACAATTAAAGTTGCAAAAAAACAGCTTAAAAATTCAAAAGTCCGCCATTTTGTTTTTTTCCATCGGGGGTGCTTTATTTTAGTTCACGCTATAGCCACAAACTTATATTTTAAGAAAAATTTTGGTTTTTTGATTTCAGATGATTCAGACCTGAGAAATCTTGACTACCGTTTCAAAATGGGACCAACTTCATGTTGCTAGAAAATATGATAGCGCAGAAAATATGATATATATTTATATATAATTATATATATATATATATAATTTTTTTTATGAGTTATATATGTTCTCTTTTAAATGTAAAAAGATTGGTACGCATTAACAAACTTCAATATTAAATAAAAATTCTTTTCTAACCCATACGAAACCACTGGACTAGCCCCTTAAATTTCTTTAAATTATAAGTTAGCAATAATTTTGTTAGTTATAAATAACTTATAATTAAAAAAATCCTAACTTATAATTTAAATATATAATTTTATTTTAATTTAAATTCCTAACTTATTTAAAAACGTTTTTTTCCTAACTTACTTAAAAACGTTTTTTTTAAATTATAAGTTAGGAATAATCTTATTTTGCATAGAACTTTCGATGATAGATATTTTTGGACGTTCAGAAGTAAAATATCAAAATGATAAAGTGTATAGAGAAAAATTGTAATTTAACTTTGACTTCTGTCAATGCTCTACAGTTGCATTTAAGTATCGCTCATAAATTTGATGATATTACTGTATATAAATGCCAAGTATCCCAATGTTCATCAGACTATAATTCATGGAAAAAATTCCGAAAGCATCTCATATCCTATCATAAATTTCCAGTGAATCCTATAATTAAAAGTCATGTTCAAAGTCGTGGTAATAGAAGTAATAGAGCTAACTTACAAACGTCAGATTCTGACTGTGATAATGAAGACGTAATTTTCTCTGACTTTGTTAATGAAATATCGGTCTCAAAAGAATCTATCAATGACAAACTTCATAACTGTTTATTACGTTACATTGTAAAATTGTATGCAGATCCAACTTTGCCTCGAAAATATGTTTAAATTGTAATAAATGATACCGCTGCCTTGTTCTTTGATGCTATATCATTTCTGAAGCCTGCTATACGTTTTATATGTAATGAAGCAGAATTTGTTGGGAATATAACTTCAAATATATTCGATTTATTTGATACAGTTCTTAAATTATTTACGAATTTTTATTCTGAATATAATCGTGTGAAAGCTTTGCAGAAAACAAATCATTTTATTAAACCTCAGCCATGTATTGTTGGCAATATTGTAAGTGAAAAAAGAGTTAATGGCCGAATCATTAAAGACATAGTTCCCATACACGGTCAGTTCCTACCTCTTCGTATAATTTTGAAAGCATTCTTTAGTCTTCCAGGAGTGTTTGACATCGTTTATGATTATATAGTAAATCTAATGCAGGAAATAGCTGTATTATCTAACTTCGTTCAGGGTAAATTGTGGAGAAAAAGAAAACAGATTATTTTTCTGATAAAATTGTTTTCCCTCTTTTTGTTTATTATGACGACTTTGAAGTAAATGATCCTTTAGGGAGTCATAAAGCGATTCAAAAGATAGGCGGAACCTATATTACTATTCCATGTATACCACCAGAATATCGTTCCACATTGGATGAAATTTTTGTTACTTTATTGTTTCATACATCTGATAGAGCTCATTTTAAAAATGCAGCTATGTTTCGCATATTAATAGATGAAATTAATTTTCTTCAGGACTGTGGTATTGCCTAAAATTTGGTGACAAGACCAAAATATATATTTTGCTCTAGGTTTATTGACTGGGGATAATCTTGGACTCAATACAATATTAGGTTATTCAATGAGTTTTAATGCCACTTATTATTGCCGCTTTTGTATTACATAAAAAAAAGATTGTGAAAAAGATTGCTTTGTACAAAAAGAGAATTTAAGAAAGAGAGAAAAGTACTTGGACGATATCCGTGATGGTCTATCCAACTCTGGTTTAAATGAATATTCAATTTGGAATGAAGTTAGAGGATTTCATGTTTATGAAAATTTTGCTTCAGACCCTTTGTTACATGAGATGACAGAAGGTTGTCTACGATATGGAATGAGCCATTTGTTATATCACTTAATATTCAAGGAGAAACACTTTGGAATTCATGAACTTAATGAAAGAATAAAAACTTTTGATTATTATATAAATGAATTTTCAAACAAACCACCACTTGTAACAGAGGAGGAAGTGAGAAGCAAGCATTTAAATATGTCAGGTACTGAAATGATAAAATTTTTTTTAACTTTCGGTTTTCTAGTTGCAGACTTTGTGCCTTGCGGTAATAAATTGTGGCAGTTTTATATTGTTTTACGCCAAATATTTGGTATTGTTGCTGCTACTAACATCCAGAGTGAAATATCGATATTGTTAAAATAATTCATTTTTGAACACCATACATTGTACCAGGAGCTCTTTAAAGATCAATTAAAACCGAAACATCATATTATGCTACACTTTCCTATGATGCTTGTAATGTCAGGACCGTTAGCTTTGTTTAGTACAATGAGACAAGAATCTAAGAATAGGCTTAACAAAATTCGCGCGAATGCCACATATTCCAGAAGAAATATTACTTCTACATTAGCGTTCAAGGAATCTTTGCAAATATGTTACAAATTAGTAAGTCAACTCGGATTTAGACAGAAATTTGAAATGGGACCAGGGAACATTTTAGGCGAATTTCCTGAAAATGAAAATTTAGATTATTCGTATATTCCTGTCGATTTTAAAGCAGCTTGCATAAAGGTTCCATGGGTTAATTACAAAGGAACAAGATGTAGAATTGGTGCATGTGTTGTTCTTGAGACAGATAATTTTGAATTGCCTATCTTTGGTGAGATTCAAAGAATATATTGCACTGAGAATTTTAAAGTTTGCCTTGTATGGTTTACCTTTAAAACAATTGGCTTTGATCCGCATGTGCATGCGTATGACGTGAAATGAGTGTTCAAATTTCTTGTATTAATATTGATGATTTGTTTCATTACTTTCCAGTTATTTTAGTCAAAATGAATAATGGTAAATATTTTATGTCTACAAGGTATGCATTATGAAATTGTAAAGACAAGAAATTGTAAAATATACAGACATAAACCAAATAAACTATTTCCTTCATTTCTGGTTTCTTTATAGACCACTTAAATCATTATCACACAGAAGAAAAGAGTTATTTACGGTAGCTAAAATTTGTGTACGGTAGTCAAAATAGTTGTAATATATGGACACCTAAAAATATTGTTGCGTTAGTCACTGTTTTTTACTGCAGGAGCAAATTTTCTTGCTATGGGATCGAAATAACATGTTAATTTTATAGTAAAAGAATTTGCTTCTATAATAAAAATATAGCTAACGTAGCAATATTTTGAGGTATCCATATATTATAATATATTTTTTTCCTATGTAAATGATTTGAGTAATCAGTTAAAATGGTTGTAACAATATGTACAGTATAGCCATCACGTAGAAGTTTGTTAGATAGAGCAACCAAGTAACAGACCGTCTTGCGAAAATTATTTAGCTGCAGTAACCAATTAACAAATCGCTGCAAAATAGGCCGTTGGTTGAAGCAGCAAAGTCACGTATCTACTCCAACCAA